CGATTGTATTGATCACACGGACAGTGTTGGGGTCATTTGGGGGCTAGCCTATGGAAGGCGTAAACAGCGTGGTGTGAAGTTCAACCACTGCAGACACATCCCATGAGATTATCATCTGGCAGACCCCGAGTCCTGAACGCGGCAGCAGGAGGAATCTCCGGGGGAAGTCCACGGCAATGGTGACCGTGATGGTAGCAGCGAGAGGAGAAGAGTGTGACTGCCTGCCGGATGAGCGAGCCGTTGGAGTAAATCAATTGAAAGTTTATCGGGTGCAGCAGTGGTTATAGTGTCGCTGTGTGCAGTAACAGTGTCACTGTGTGCAGTAACAGTGTCACTGTGTGCAGTAACAGTGTCACTGTGTGCAGTAACAGTGTCACTGTGTGCAGTAACAGTGTCACTGTGTGCAGTAACAGTGTCGCTGTGTGCAGTAACAGTGTCGCTGTGTGCAGTAACAGTGTCGCTGTGTGCAGTAACAGTGTCGGTGTCGCTGTGTGCAGTAACAGTGTCGCTGTGTGCAGTAACAGTGTCGCTGTGTGCAGTAACAGTGTCGCTGTGTGCAGTAACAGTGACAGTGTCGCTGCGTGCAGTAACGGTGTCACTGTGTGCAGTAACAGTGTCACTGTGTGCAGTAACAGTGTCGCTGTGTGCAGTAACAGTGTCGCTCCGTGCAGTAACAGTGACAGTGTCGCTGTGTGCAGTAACAGTGTCGCTGTGTGCAGTAACAGTGTCGCTGTGTGCAGTAACAGTGTCGCTGTGTACAGTGACAGTGTCGCTGTGTACAGTGACAGTGTCGCTGTGTGCAGTAACAGTGACGGTGTCGCTGTGTGCAGTAACAGTGACAGTGTCGCTGTGTGCAGTAACAGTGACAGTGTCGCTGTGTGCAGTAACAGTGACAGTGTCGCTGTGTGCAGTAACAGTGACGGTGTCGCTGTGTGCAGTAACAGTGACAGTGTCGCTGTGTGCAGTAACAGTGTCGCTGTGTGCAGTAACAGTGACACTGTCGCTGTGTGCAGTAACAGTGTCGGTGTCGCTGTGTGCAGTAACAGTGTCAGTGTCGCTGTGTGCAGTAACAGTGTCAGTGTCGCTGTGTGCAGTAACAGCGTCAGTGTCGCTGTGTGCAGTAACAGTGACGGTGTCGCTGTGTGCAGTAACAGTGACGGTGTCGCTGTGTGCAGTAACAGTGTCGCTGTGTGCAGTAACAGTGTCGCTGTGTGCAGTAACAGTGACGCTGTGTGCAGTGACAGTAACAGTGTCGCTGTGTGCAGTAACAGTAACAGTGTCGCTGTGTGCAGTAACAGTGACAGTGTCGCTGTGTGCAGTAACAGTGACAGTGTCGCTGTGTGCAGTAACAGTGACGGTGTCGCTGTGTGCAGTAACAGTGACAGTGTCGCTGTGTGCAGTGACAGTGTCGCTGTGTGCAGTAACAGTGTCGCTGTGTGCAGTAACAGTGACAGTGTCGCTGTGTGCAGTAACAGTGTCGCTGTGTGCAGTAACAGTGTCGCTGGGTGCAGTAACAGTGACACTGTCGCTGTGTGCAGTAACAGTGACGGTTTCGCTGAGTGCAGTAACAGTGGCGGTGTCGCTGTGTGCAGTAACAGTGTCGCTGTGTGCAGTAACAGCGTCAGTGTCGCTGTGTGCAGTAACAGTGACGGTGTCGCTGTGTGCAGTAACAGTGACGGTGTCGCCGTGTGCAGTAACAGTGTCGCTGTGTGCAGTAACAGTGTCGCTGTGTGCAGTAACAGTGTCGCTGTGTGCAGTAACAGTGACGCTGTGTGCAGTGACAGTAACAGTGTCGCTGTGTGCAGTAACAGTAACAGTGTCGCTGTGTGCAGTAACAGTGACAGTGTCGCTGTGTGCAGTAACAGTGACAGTGTCGCTGTGTGCAGTAACAGTGACGGTGTCGCTGTGTGCAGTAACAGTGACAGTGTCGCTGTGTGCAGTGACAGTGACAGTGTCGCTGTGTGCAGTAACAGTGTCGCTGTGTGCAGTAACAGTGACAGTGTCGCTGTGTGCAGTAACAGTGTCGCTGTGTGCAGTAACAGTGTCGCTGGGTGCAGTAACAGTGACACTGTCGCTGTGTGCAGTAACAGTGACGGTTTCGCCGAGTGCAGTAACAGTGTCGGTGTCGCTGTGTGCAGTAACAGTGTCGCTGTGTGCAGTAACAGTAACAGTGTCGCTGGGTACAGTAACAGTGACACTGTCGCTGTGTGCAGTAACAGTGACGGTGTCGCTGAGTGCAGTAACAGTGACGGTGTCGCTGTGTGCATTAACAGTGTCAGTGTCGCTGTGTGCAGTAGCAGTGACGGTGTCGCTGTGTGCAGTAACAGTGACAGTGTCGCTGTGTGCACTAACAGTGACAGTGTCGCCTGGTGCAGTAACAGTGACAGTTTCGCTATGTGCAGTAACAGTGACAGTGTCGCTGTGTGCAGTAACAGTGTCGCTGTGTGCAGTAACAGTGTCGCTGTGTGCAGTAACAGTAACAGTGTCGCTGGGTGCAGTAACAGTGACACTGTCGCTGTGTGCAGTAACAGTGACGGTTTCGCTGAGTGCAGTAACAGTGTCGGTGTCGCTGTGTGCAGTAACAGTGTCGCTGTGTGCAGTAACAGTAACAGTGTCGCTGGGTGCAGTAACAGTGACACTGTCGCTGTGTGTAGTAACAGTGACGGTGTCGCTGAGTGCAGTAACAGTGACGGTGTCGCTGTGTGCATTAACAGTGTCGGTGTCGCTGTGTGCAGTAACAGTGTCAGTGTCGCTGTGTGCAGTAGCAGTGACGGTGTCGCTGTGTGCAGTAACAGTGACGGTGTCGCTGTGTGCACTAACAGTGTCGCTGTGTGCAGTAACAGTGTCGGTGTCGCTGTGTGCAGTAACAGTGTCGGTGTCGCTGTGTGCAGTAACAGTGTTGCTGTGTGCAGTAACAGTGACGGTGTTGCTGTGTGCAGTAACAGTGACAGTGTCGCTGTGTGCAGTAACAGTAACAGTGTCGCTGTGTGCAGTAACAGTGACAGTGTCGCTGTGTGCAGTAACAGTGACAGTGTTGCTGTGTGCAGTAACAGTAACAGTGTCGCTGTGTGCAGTAACAGTGACGGTGTCGCTGTGTGCAGTAACAGTGACGGTGTCGCTGTGTGCAGTAACAGTGTCACTGAGTGCAGTAACAGTGTCACTGTGTGCAGTAACAGTGTCGCTGTGTGCAGTAACAGTGACGGTGTTGCTGTGTGCAGTAACAGTGACGTTGTCGCTGTGTGCAGTAACAGTGACGGTGTCGCTGTGTGCAGTAACAGTGACGGTGTCGCTGTGTGCAGTAACAGTGACGGTGTCGCTGTGTGCAGTAACAGTGATGGTGTCGCTGTGTGCAGTAACAGTAACAGTGTCGCTGTGTGCAGTAACAGTAACAGTGTCGCTGTGTGCAGTAACAGTGACAGTGTCGCTGTGTGCAGTAACAGTGACAGTGTCGCTGTGTGCAGTAACAGTGACGGTGTCGCTGTGTGCAGTAACAGTGACGGTGTCGCTGTGTGCAGTAACAGTGTCGCTATGTGCAGTAACAGTGACAGTGTCGCTGTGTGCAGTAACAGTGACAGTGTCGCTATTTGCAGTAACAGTAACAGTGTCGCTGTGTGCAGTAACAGTGTCGCTGTGTGCAGTAACAGTGACAGTGTCGCTGTGTGCAGTAACAGTGACAGTATCGCTGTGTGCAGTAACAGTGACAGTATCGCTGTGTGCAGTAACAGTGACGGTGTCGCTGTGTGCAGTAACAGTGACGGTGTCGCTTTGTACAGTGACGGTGTCGCTTTGTGCAGTAACAGTGTCGCTGTGTGCAGTAACAGTGACAGTGTCGCTGTGTGCAGTAACAGTGACAGTGTCGCTGTGTGCAGTAACAATGACAGTGTTGCTGTGTGCAGTAACAGTGACGGTCTCGCTAAGTGCAGTAACAGTGATAGTGTTGCTGTGTGCAGCAGCAGTGATAATATTGCTGGGTGCAGGAGCAGTGATAGTGTTTCTGTGTGCGGGGCGATGGAGGGATGTGTGTATAACACAAGGGAGGATCATGAAGGAAGTGATCTCGTTTACAGGCAGAGCTCGCTTGTAGAACACCGATTCGTTACAGCGCTCTTTGACCTGGAGAACATTTTCCCCAACAAGTTGTAGACTTCAACAATCTACAAAGCGCTTACGAGTAATTACATGCAGCACGAAACGTAACCACACCCATCATTCGCTCAGCCAATGAGAGCGGCCTACGCTCTGGAGCCAACCAGATCCCACCGCCGACCCACGCGATTCGATTATCAGGATTCGTCGTCACGATTACATTATTATTTTCTTTGTTGAAGTCGACTTTTTCTTTTTCATTGCCAAGGTGACAATAACTCACGAGACCAGAATAGAGTCTCAGGCTCCACCTAAAATAAACGTCACTACAGAAATGTTGACCGAGGGCATCACTAAGGCCATCACGGAGGTCCTGTGGAGCTCTTCTCTGAGAGTGACGCGGACTAAGAGAGCAGCAGCTCCTCCAACTGTGGGCCTTGTAGGGGGATTACAGCAGAAGGCACTCGTGAGTGCAGTCCATAATAGTTACTGTTATATCAAATAATAGATTTTATTCATTTCGTCATGTTTACTATCTGTATTATTATTAGCACTCTGACCACATAATTAAGCCCACATATATTCCTCATGCGTCAAAAATAACGCTGTCGGGTACACATCCCCAATACATGCAATTATATAATGACCCCTTTTAGCGCTGATTGGATTAGCGCTCACTTGTCCAGGAACGCATTGTGGGCACTAAGCCAGGTCTGCCTGCATTCTTTGTACTGTGTTTGTGTGTGTACTATGTGTGTGGGCTGTGTTCCATTGCCCCCCATGACTCATGTCTCCACGTCCCCGCATCCCTGTGGCTCATATACCCATGTTCCTGTGTCCCCATTGCTCTATGTCACTGCATCCCCACATACAATATCCTTGTGCTTTCGTGTCTCCTTGTGCCTACATCTTAGGATGGATCCACTGCCCCTGAGGGAGACACCCACTCTCTCCACGCTCTTCCAGGAGCCGCTCCCCCCTCCTCCCGGTTACCATGGCGACGACCCGGTCCCCCCGCCTCCCGGTTACTGTGGCAATGATCCTGCCCCGCCTCCTCCCGATTACCACAGCGATGACACAAACTTGCCCCCTCCTCCCAGCTACCAGGGGGAGCCCCTGCCCCCACCTCCCGGCTACCACGGCGACGACCTGCCCCCCCCGCCTCCCGGTTACCAAGGAGACAACTCAACCCTGCCTCTCCAGGATCACCACGGCGATGTCGCCTTCCCTCCACCTCCCGAATACGTTGTCGATGAAGGCGTCGTCGTCGACACACATCCGCAAGGGTATCCTGACGGACCCCTCCCCGAGGGTCACGGGGTTCCCGGGGTTTCCTTTCAGGACCCCCTGAGCTCCTTCCTCAGCGGCGAGCAGCTCGAGCGAAGTGTGTGCCTCGCGCGCCACGCCATCGCCACCGCATCGGGCGGTGCGACCGCGGCGGCAGGCCCGCCCATCGGTGGATTCCCTGTGTCACCCGGACGAGCCCCCAGTGTTGTCGGGGAGCTCTGGGGAGACGGTTCGGACGCCGAGGGGTCCGAATTGGGGACCGGGTTCCGGACCGAGGACCCCCCAACGCCACCAGAGAGCTGGGACACGAGGTCGGACACGGCGTCACTCTCGTCGTTTGTGGAGAGCCTTGTGCTGGAGAAGCCCTTCTCGACGGCCGGGACTGGAACCGGCACCACTACCGGGGGGCTGCATGACGGAACCGGAGAGGCGCCCAGGCGAGCGCCGGGCCATGGTAACAATGGCCACGGAAACAATGGCCACTAAAACAATTGGTCACAGTAACAATGGCCACGTAAACAATGACTATAGTAACAATGACCATGGAAACAATAGCCATGGTAACAATGACCTGGGTAACAATGGCCAAGGTAACAATGGCCAAGGTAACAATGGACACATAACAATGACCATGATAACAATGGGCAAGGTAACAATTAGCATGGAAACAATGGTCATGGAAGCAATAGCCACGGTAACAATGACCCGGGTAACAATGGCCTCCGTAACAATGGCCAAGGTAACAATACCAGCGATAACAATGAGCAGGTGACAATGACCACGGAAACAATGGCCACGGTTACAGTGGACAAGATAACGATGCCATGGAAATAATGACTTGGGTAACAATGTGCAGTGTAACAATGGATAGGTAACAATGGCCACGATAACAATGGCCATGGTAACATTGGCCACGGTAACTGACCACAGAAACAATGGAGGTGTCACGTGTACAGGATGGAGTAGGATATGATAAGCAACTAGGAGGTTGGAACGAGGAGGAGGAGGTAGCGATGAGTGTGACTCGAGTGCAGAGTGGGGGAGGAGAGCCGTTCACTGTGAGTGAGTGAGCAAGTGGTTAGGTAGATAAGTAGCCTGGTGAATATCTATAGACAATCTGTTTCAGAGACAATGCATATACGATCAGAGCATGTTTGTTTGCACGTTCACCACAAGTAAGTACAGTTATGCAGGCTTGATTCCTTGGTAAAGGTCTCTGGTGTTTGAACATCTTAACACCTGTTTTATTGCCAAAAAGGGGCAAAACCTATTCTTATTTTTCATAATTTGATACTGGCAAAAAGGTCCCATGATATCGGTAGACTAACATAGAGGCACATAGACTCAGGTCGAGGCCCATATACTCAGGTAGAGGTATTTAAGCACGTGAGGGTGGTGAGAGTGGTTCGGGTGGTGAGGATAATACTGATTGTATCGCCATGCCCCCTACTCCCCCAGCCCCCTCTTTCACGCAGAGGCTGCGCAGCTGTCGAGTAAGCGAGGGGTCACAGGTCGTCATGGAGTGTCACGTGACTGGTGACCCTACACCCACAGTCAGGTGACACAACACTCACCGGCCACTCAGCACCACTCACCCACACACTTACCCACTTGCTCCCATACTCACACACGTGCAGACAGCAATCAGCACTCATCCACATCGTCACGCTCACCCAAACGAGTATCCATATGTGAGAGAGTGCGTGTGTAAGCCTCAACAGAGTGCAGGGGGCACGTGGTGTTAGCGAGAAGCACCCATAAAGTTGGGCACGGTATACGAGGGGGGTGGGTGGTCAGCACCACATCTTAGCCGCCTTTCTCTTCCAAGTTGTGAAGTTGACACACCGCACACCAGGTACTGATTTTGAGTCGACCTAGGGGAGGGAGGACGGGCTCAGATAATTGTCACTGGTATTTAGTAGCCGTGAGCGCGAATCGAACTCAGGTCACCAGGTGAGTAGCGCAGCCTGCTAACCTCGGCGCCACCGCTCCCCATGCAAAGACCCACAGACACACTCTCACATACAGACACACTCCCACACAACGACACGCTCATACACAGAGACACTGTCACACACACACAGACACACGCACACACAAAGACAAAGAGACAAAGACAAAGATCTCCCGTATAGCCTTTACAGACTGTTGGGGCAAGTGCTTTATGCGAGCGCCTATGAAGGCCGACACAGCGCACGAGAGGGTGGGTGGCCAAGCACCACGCCCTGCCGCCTTTGTCTCCCCGGGGGCGGAGTTTACACACCGCACCAGGTACTCATTTGAGGCTGCGTCGACTTTTGTGGAGGCCCAGGACCGGTTCAGATAAGCGTCACAGGTGTTGGCCATGAGCAGGAATCGAACTCGGGTTGCCGGATTCGTAGCACAGCGCACTAACCGCTACATTACCACTCCCAACTCACACATGGACACAGACAGACAGACACAGACACAACAACAGCAAGAACCACCATTCGCCACTAAGTGGCGGTGACGTCACCACAACGCTTGTGCCAGGCCATGTGCACCTTGAGGCCACGTGAAGTGTCGAACGCCCGCGGGCAGGAGGTCACGGGGCAGACCCAGGTGCCACGGGTCGACTGACTGAGATGACTGGCTGATGCACCACCTGTGCCCCCTACTGTGCCAACCTGCTGTGCTTTAGCCACCCGGCGCTCCGCTCGTTGTTCTGAGCGTCGCTCCTCCGTCCTCTGTTGTTGTTGGAGGGCGACTGCCTCCAACTGCCCAGTAGCATCCTTCACGAGCCTCCTCCACAGAGGCCGATCTTGACACCGCTGGTACCAGTCATCGGCAAGTCCACTCAGCTCCACGTCCTCCTGTACCACATCACTCCATCTCTTCTCTAGCCCGTGCCGCGCCCGCTTAGCCCCCTCAATCCGGCCAAACAAAAGCTGTTTCGGCATGCGGTGGCTGGGCATGCGGGCTACATGACCCAGCCATCGCAGCCTTGCCTGCCGGAGGAGCTCACCGATGGGACCCTGCCCAGATCTTTCAAGGATTTGTGAGCTCCTCACACAATCCAGTCTGGTTAAACCCAGGATGGATCGTAGGCAGGCCAGCCTAAATGTTTCTAACCGGCGAAGATGTTCCATTAGGGGGGTCCACGTTTCGCAAGCGTAGAGAAGGGAGGGAATGACCGTGGCCGAGAAGACCTGAAGCTTAGTGCGGAGCGACAGACCAGGTAGCTTCCACACAGCGTTACGCAACCGATGAAAAGATATTGCCGCTCGACTGATTCGGAGTGAGACCTCTGCTGTTAAACTGGAGCCAGTCATAAGCACACTGCCCAGGTATGGGAAACTCTCCACTCTCTCCACAACTGCCCCAACACCGATTGGGAGTTGTGGGGGTGGAGTGTCCGATGGTACAAAATACCCAGGCAGGTGCTTAGTTTTGGTGGGGCTGATAGTAAGGCTCCATCTCTTAGTGGCACACTCCAGTCTCAGCAGCAGCATCTCCAACTCCTCCTCTGAATGAGCAGCTATTACCAAATCATCGGCATACATAACGTGGTTGAGCAATAGGGAGCCATCCCTTGACTGCACCCGTGCATCGATCAGCCTCCCATTATATATGTACCAAATGGAGATTCCCCCGGTACAGCTATTGAAGGCTTCACGAACTACGTGGTCAAAATACATGTGAAATAATGTGGGAGCCAGAGGACATCCATGTCGCACCCCAAGGTGTACAGGGAATGGCTCTGACTCCCTCCCACGTAGTTTTACCCGGGCCCGCTCACCATCATGAAGGTCCTTAATGATCGTGAGCAGGGGGTCATGGAATCCAAAAGCACGAAGAACAACCCAGAGCCCAGGCCTACTGATGGTATCATAGGCCTTGACCAGGTCAATAAAGCAGAGATGTAGGTCTTGTTGGAATTCCCTACACCTCTGCTGTAGCAGACGGACAGAAAATATGGCATCTGTGCAGGACCGACCTTTCCTGAAACCGCATTGGGGCTCCGCAAGCCTCTTCTCAGCGTGCCTGGCAAGGCGATGTTGAATAATCCTTGCCAGGACCTTTCCCAGCACACTGAGGAGTGAGATGCCCCTGTAGTTGTTACAGACACTCACACACACACAGACACTCACACACACACAGACACTCACACAGACCCCCCCCCCCCCCAGGGTTCGTCTATTTTTGAGTCGCTCTAGGCTGCACCTGTCCCTCCCCCACCTCCGTCCCCCAACCCCGCCCCTCCATCAACCCCGCCCCTCCAAACAGCCACGTGGAAACCCACACTCACTCACACTCCTCACTCACACACGCACTCACTCCCTCTCACTCACTCACACTCACTCACTCACTCTCACTCACTCACTCTCACACTCACACACTCCTCACACTCCTCATCCTCACACTCACCCACTCACACTCATCCTCACACTCACCCACTCACACTCACTCACACTCCTCATCCTCACACTCACCCACTCACTCACACTCCTTATCCTCACACTCAACAACAACAACAACAACCGCCATTCGCCACTAAGTGGCGGTGACGTCACCACGACGCTTGTGCCAGGCTATGTGCACCCTGAGGCCACGTGAAGTGTCGAACGCCCGCTGGCAGGAGGTCACGGGGCAGACCCAGGTGCCACGGGTCGACTGACTGAGATGACTGGCTGATGCACCACCTGTGCCCCCTACTGTGCCAACCTGCTGTGCTTTAGCCACCCGGCGCTCCGCTCGCTGTTGTGAGCGTCGCTCCTCCGCCCTCCGTTGTTGTTGGAGGGCGACTGCCTCCAACTGCCCAGTAGCATCCTTCACGAGCCTCCTCCACAGAGGCCGATCTTGACACCGCTGGTACCAGTCATCGGCAAGTCCACTCAGCTCCACGTCCTCCTGTACCACATCACTCCATCTCTTCTCTAGCCCGTGCCGCGCCCGCTTAGCCCCCTCAATCCGGCCAAACAAAAGCTGTTTCGGCATGCGGTGGCTGGGCATGCGGGCTACATGACCCAGCCATCGCAGCCTTGCCTGCCGGAGGAGCTCACCGATGGGACCCTGCCCAGATCTTTCAAGGATTTGTGAGCTCCTCACACAATCCAGTCTGGTTAAACCCAGGATGGATCGTAGGCAGGCCAGCCTAAATGTTTCTAACCGGCGAAGATGTTCCATTAGGGGGGTCCACGTTTCGCAAGCGTAGAGAAGGGAGGGAATGACCGTGGCCGAGAAGACCTGAAGCTTAGTGCGGAGCGACAGACCAGGTAGCTTCCACACAGCGTTACGCAACCGATGAAAAGATATTGCCGCTCGACTGATTCGGAGTGAGACCTCTGCTGTTAAACTGGTGCCAGTCATAAGCACACTGCCCAGGTATGGGAAACTCTCCACTCTCTCCACAACTGCCCCATCACCGATTGGGAGTTGTGGGGGTGGAGTGTCCGATGGTACAAAATACCCAGGCAGGTGCTTGGTTTTGGTGGGGCTGATGGTAAGGCCCCACCTCTTAGTGGCACGCTCCAGTCTCAGCAGCAGCGTCTCCAACTCCTCCTCTGACTGAGCAGCTATTACCAAGTCATCAGCATACATAACGTGGTTGAGCAATAGGGAGCCATCCCTTGACCGCACCCGGGCATCGATTAGCCTCCCATTATATCTGTACCATATGGAGATTCCCCCGGTACAGCTATTGAAGGCTTCACGAACTACGTGGTCAAAATAGATGTTAAATAATGTGGGAGCCAGAGGACATCCCTGTCGCACCCCAAGGTGTACAGGGAATGGCTCTGACTCCCGGCCACGTAGTTTTACCCGGGCCCGCTCACCATCATGAAGGTCCTTAATGATCGTGAGCAGAGGGTCAGGTACTCCAAAAGCACGAAGAACGACCCAGAGCCCAGGCCTACTGATGGTATCATAGGCCTTGACCAGGTCAATAAAGCAGAGATGTAGGTCTTGTTGGAATTCCCTACACCTCTGCTGTAGCAGACGGACAGAAAATATGGCATCTGTGCAGGACCGCCCTTTCCTGAAACCGCATTGGGGCTCCGCAAGCCTCTCCTCAGCGTGCCTGGCAAGGCGATGCTGAATAATCCTTGCCAGGACCTTTCCCGGCACACTGAGGAGTGAGATGCCCCTGTAGTTGTTACAGTCTGTGCGGTCCCCCTTCTTAAAAAGGGGGACCACCAGGGCATCCTTCCAATCCTGCGGAACCCGTCCAGTGGTCCAGACTGTTGTTATGATGTCATATAGGGCAGTCTGTGCACAAACGCCACCCTCCCTCAGCATTTCGCTTGGAAGATCATCTCTGCCCGCTGCCTTTCCTGGTCTCAGACTCCGAATCGCCTTCAATACTTCCTCAGCAGATGGCACCTCAGCCAGCCACTCACAGGGGGTGACTTCATCCAATATTTGAGGCACCGCAGCCTCAGCAGGGTCATCCTCACTTTGTGCCACGATGTTTTCCTGGCTGAGGGATTTTCCCTCCCCCAGGACCTCACAGAAATGCTCAGCAAATCTGCGAACCTGTTCCTGGGGGTCGGAAATTGGATCGCCGTTTTTTCCCCTAATGATGGTAATAGGTGT